TACACGGACAAAGCGGCACTTCACAATGACACTATCAAAGATAGCATAAGGAAAGCAAATGTTGTTTTGAAGAGCAATTAAACAGTCCAAATCCAAATCACAAGCGATCAACAGTCCAGTTCACGAATCCAAAATTAGTAACAGTACAAAATCAACAAGCACGAACATGTAAAGATGCGCAATAAACGAAGGAGTACTGATCGGTATCAAAGTGTGCAATAGCAAGTAAGTGATGTGCTTCATCCATACCACACACAGCGTGTTCAACCTCTCCTGCCCCGGGATTATGAGCCCCGAGTTGCTTTTTGTCGCACAATGTTAGAAAGACACAGGAAATATCCACAGTTCTTTGAAAAAATGTTATGGTCGGATGAGACCACATTTAAGAAAGATGGGTACATGAACCTGCATAACTTACACGAGTGGCTCGTAGCAAACCCACATTTGATGAGAGAAGATAAATCTCAATATCGCTTCAAGATAAACCATTGGACAGGAATTTTAAATGGTAAAATAATCGGTCCGTTTGAGTTCCCAGAGACTTTGACTGCTGAGTTTATTTGGATTTTTTGAAAAATCATGTACAACATTTATTGGTGGACGTGCCACTGAGTATTTACAGGGACATGTGGTTTCAGCATGATGGCTGCCCAGCGCACTATGCACTCTCAGTGAGAGAGTATCTCGATCAAAACTTTCCAGGCAGATGGATAAGGCGGTCTGGTATAATACCGTGGCCAGCCCGATCACCTGATTTGAATCCTTTTTTTACTGGGGAACTGTAAAAGAAAAAGTGTATTTCAAGCCGATTCAATATGTAGCTGAGCTACGGCAAAGACTATTGGAAGCAGCTGAGTTTGTTAATAACCGTGGATACGCTCGTTTAATAACCCGATCTTTTTTAAGAAGATGTCGAGCGTGTATTGCAGCTGAAGGAAAACAGTTTGAGCATTTGCTGTAAAGGTAAATCACCATCAGCAGCATTTTGACGCCCACTGTTGTGCAAACAGTTATCCTTAAGGGTCCTTGTGCGTTTTCATAATCGCTGTTTAATTAAGAAATTTTGAAAAATTTTCATGTTTTTTTTCAAATAAAAATAAGTTAACGAGTAATCTTCTAAGTGTTATACCATTTTGGAATCGTTATTAAATGCGCCAACTTTTAAGGTTACTTGCCAAACTCTCGTAGTACATTTTTTTCCAGTACATCCAGTTAAAGTTGAGCAAAGTTTTACTTTGGAATACTTGGTTGGGAAATAAGTGGCAATTTTTCCTGAACGAGAAAAGTTAGCAGTAAGGTTGAGACACCAGTTTGAAGACGCATTATTCATCATTACATTGTAAAAATAAAATCCAAAAAACGTTAATATTTGTAGTAACAGGAGTTGACAGACTGTCATAGGGTGTGAAATTTCTATATCTTTTTCAAATACCTATAATTTTCAAAACACATACATAACATTTTTTTAAATATTTTTCTGATAGCTGTTATGACTTTGCCTATCACCCGGTTTCGGCTTGACGTCGACTTCTGGGACACCCTGTAGATTTTTCAGTTGGAGGCATTACTTCATAAACACAAATTAACGTGTTATTCAATTTTTGTTATGTTATAGCCCAAACCAGAACTTTCACTTACACGTAATCATAACGTGTATCAAATATAGTGAAATTCAGAAAAATTAAATTTTAAAGTGTCGCATCTCAGCGAAAGAAAAAGATATTTGAGATAACCTAACCGCATTTAAAAGGCAAGGCTTGTGTTTTACGATGTCTATAATTTTTGAAAAAAAAATAATTTGCCATACTACATAACCTCAAATATAGACAAACATGCAATGTTTGCAGCTTAAATTACGATATCTCGGGACCTAGAGCCAATTGAGAAATTAGGACTATGGATTTGGAATCAGCGCATCAAACACCTTTGAGAAAGTATATTCTGGTTTCTGTCGGACTTTGGTATTTTTACTGTTATCTCCAATGTTGGCGTTGGTGTAAAAAATGTATATTTTAAAAGAGTGTAAATCCTGAAATCACAGCGTTGGCGTCAAAACCCAGAAATCTGAAGTTATAAGTTTTATGTAACTACTTAAACCACAGCGTTGGAGTAAAAACCGAGAAATCTGAAGTTATAAGCTTCAAGTAAATCATGAAATCACAGCGTTGTAGTCAAAACCGAGAAATCTGAAGTTATAAACTTTATGAAAATCCTGAAATCCCAGCGTTGGAGTCAAAACCGAGAAATCTGAGGTTATAGGTTTTACGTACATCCTGAAATCACAGCGTTGGAGTCAAAACCGAGAAATCTGAAGTTATATGGTAAGTTTTATGTAAATTCTGAAATCATAGAATTGGAGTCAATCTGAAGTCATAAGTTTTATGTAAATTCTAAAATCACAGCGTTGGAGTCAAAACCGAGAAATCTGAAGTGATGTTTTATGTAAATTCTGAAATCACAGCGTTGGATTTAAAACCGAGAAATGTGGAATTATAAGTTTTATGTAAATCCAGAAATCGCAGCTTTGGAGTCAAAACCGAGAAATCTGAAGTTATAGATTTTACGTAAATCCTGAAATTACAGCGTTTTGAGTCAAAACCGAGAAAAGTTATGTTTTATGTAAATCCTGAAATCGCAGCGTTGGGTTTAAAACCGAGAAATCTGAAATAATAAGTTTTATGTAAATCCTGAAATCGCAGCGTTGGTGTCAAAACCGAGAAATCTGAAGTTATAGGTTTTACGTAAATCCTGAAATCACAGCGTTGGAGTCAAAACCGAGAAAAGTTATGTTTTATCTGAATCCTGCAATCGCAGCATTGGAGTCAAAACCGAGAAATCTGAAGTTATAGGTTTTACGTAAATCCTGAAATCACAGCGTTAGTGTCAAAACCGAGATATCTGATGTTATTAGTTTTATGTAAATTCTGAAATTACAGCGTTGGAGTCAAAACCGAGAAATCTGAGGTTATAAGTTTTATGTAAATCCCGAAATCACAGTGTTGGAGTCAAAACCGAGAAATCTGAAGTTATAAGTTGTATGTAAATCCTGAAATCACAGCGTTGGAGTCAAAACCGAGAAATCTGAAGTTATGTTTTATGGAAATCCTGAAATCGCTGCGTTGGAGTCAAAACCGAGAAATCTGAAGTTATAGGTTTTACGTAAATCCTGAAATCACAGCGTTGGAGTCAAAACCGAGAAATCTGAAGTTATGTTTTATGGAAATCCTGAAATCGCTGCGTTGGAGTCAAAACCGAGAAATCTGAAGTCATAAGTTTTATGTAAATTCTGAAATCATAGCGTTGGATTTAAAACCGAGAAATGTAAAGTTATAAGTTTTATGTAAATCCTGAAATCGTAGCGTTGGAATCAAAACCGAGAAATCTGAAGTTATAGGTTTTACGTAAATCCTGAAATCACAGCGTTGGAGTCAAAACCGAGAAATCTGAAGTTATAGGTTTTACGTAAATCCTGAAATCACAGCGTTGGAGTCAAAACCGAGAAATCTGAAGTTATGTTTTATGGAAATCCTGAAATCGCTGCGTTGGAGTCAAAACCGAGAAATCTGAAGTCATAAGTTTTATGTAAATTCTGAAATCATAGCGTTGGATTTAAAACCGAGAAATGTAAAGTTATAAGTTTTATGTAAATCCTGAAATCGTAGCGTTGGAATCAAAACCGAGAAATCTGAAGTTATAGGTTTTACGTAAATCCTGAAATTACAGCGTTTGGAGTAAAAACCGAGAAAAATTATGTTTTATGTAAATCCTGAAATCGCAGCGTTGGATTTAAAACCGAGAAATCTGAAGTTATACGTTTTATGTAAATCCAGAAATCGCAGCGTTGGAGTCAAAACCGAGAAATCTGAAGTTATAGGTTTTACGTAAATCCTGAAATTACAGCGTTTGGGGTCAAAACCGAGAAAAGTTATGTTTTATGTAAATCCTGAAATCGCGGCGTTGGATTTAAAACCGAGAAATCTGCAAGTGCAAGTTCTTATAATGAGACCCTATTTCTGGAATAGAAATAAAAATCCTAATGTCCGATACATACAAAGAATTTCACTTCCAATGACGATTTTTAAATCAGTTTTCTAACACACGAGCGCAAAAGTAAATAAAATGCATCATCATTGTAAAACATTATAAAAACAATCTATTACAGCTATTGAAAATGAAATTTAGTCCTAAATACCTAAAAAAATCAACTATGTGACGGTACAGTAAAGACGCAGTCGTACCTCGTAGTAAGCGCTAAGATGTCAGGTTAGTAAGCAACTTCTTGCAATTTAGTGAACATTATTCAAATACGCGGGAGCGAATCTTTAAATCGCCAATATATTTATTATGTTATACAACAATTTATTTTAATCATGACAAACCTCAACAATGCAAGCTATGGTATGTATCCCTCCCAACTGGCATATGGCTTGCCTATGACCTTCGTCAAATGACAGTTTCATCAGATGCGCCACTGTTTGTACAGGATGTTTGTCATTATCTGAAACAATAAAAATATGCATTTTTAATGCAAACTGTATTTGATATTCTACAAGTGCATCTATGCTCATAATGTCGCAGACTTTAAAAGGTATTCTGAACACTATACTACAACTATTTAAAACTGTAATGACTCATACGCGTGATCAACACGTGATCAGAGCTCGATCCCGGCTTCCTTTCGGTACAGCCGTATAGCATACGACATATGTCGTTTCTGTGGCTTTGCGGTGGTCAACAGCACAGACAGAGATGGAAATAATGGCTGATTGTTCTCCGCCGGTAGAACCAATGAAATCAAAGACGCGCCTCGACCGGCAGACTCATAGGCGTCGGCAACGCATTGGAACGTGTTTCGTTGAGCGATTGCATATTGTGTTTTTATAAGAATTGTTGTGTGATTGTTATTGTTGTTCTGTGGTTACTGTTTTGGTTATACTTAACCATGGAGAGTACAAATGGCACGAGTGGAAGTACTGAAAGCCAGGGAACAAGTAGACGGCTTCGTAAAGCACTGAAGAGGGACGCGAAAGAAATCGTGCTCAACGTGTTCAATTATCTGAACAGAACTATGTCGCAGGGAAATGCACTCGCGCGTTGTGAAAGTATGACAGGCGTTCCAGAGTGGACCATTCGCAGGGTGGTGCATGAAAAGAAGAAAACTGGAGCTACTACTGATCCAAAGTTTAATTTGACGGGACGAAAGGCCGTTAAATTGGATGACGATAGCAAAATGGCGTTAAGGCGAACCGTACATTCATTCTTCTTTAGGAATGAGATACCAACCCTCAAGGCTGTACATGCAGCGATCAAAGGAAAATGAAATTATACCCCAAATGAGCGTCGAGGTAATGAGGAAATCCCTGCACGAAATTAATTTTCGTTACGAAACGCGTAATCGGAAGTCAGTATTGCTAGAGAGACCTGAAATAGTCGCCTGGCGTCGAAAATACCTACGCGAAATGATTGAATATAGGCGACAAAGCAGAAAAATCTATTATTTGGACGAGACATGGGTAAATGCAGGTCACACAGTTAAAAAAACCTGGATAGACAAAAACGTAGTGAGTAACCGACAAGCAAGCATTGAAGGTTTGTCAACAGGTCTTCGTGGACCATCAGGGAAAGGTCAAAGATTGATCGTAACTCATATTGGTAGCGATAGTGGCTTTTTAGAAGAGTGTGACTTGATTTTCGTCTCTAAGAAAGGAGGTGATTACCATGACGAAATGGATGCCAGCTGCTTCGAGAGCTGGTTTCAAGGGGTGCTTCAGCGAGTTGAGCCCAACTCTGTGATCGTCATGGATAATGCTTCCTACCATAGTCGTCGAGCCGAACGTGTACCGACTATGGGATCTCGAAAAAGTGACATGCAGCAATGGTTGCGCGAAAAAGGAATCCCGTTTGACGATTCAAGTGTGAAAGCGGAATTGTATGAAAAAATTAAACAGCACAAACCTGCGAACATTAGTTACGTGACTGATGAGATGGCCCGTCAATGTGGTGTCACTGTGCTGCGGTTACCGCCCTACCACTGTGAACTGAACCCAATAGAGCTGCATCTGGGCTCAAGTGAAGGGTTATATTGCGCGCCATAACACAACCTTCAAATTACCAGACGTTAAGGTTTTACTTGAGACTTCCATACAGCTAGTAACGCCCGAAGCTTGGCAGAATGCTATCGGTCATGTTGTGAAGGAAGAAACAAAAATGTGGCAGCGTGACCACCACATCGACACCATCATAGAGCCAGTTATAGTCAATTTCAACGAGGAAAGCGATAGCGACAGTTTATTACTGTCAAATGTAAGTGGAAGCGACGATGAATAAAGGTAATTCCCAAATTTTTGACTTACAATATGTTTCAAACCACTCTTTATTAAGCATGTGACAAATCTAGTTCACCCATGTTAAACATTCATACCCCGCCTATGAACAGCCGACTACTGGTAGTTAAGTGATGTTCACGTGAACATCGATGAGTCATTACAGTTTTAGATAGTTATAGTATAGTCACTTTAATACAGAGCCTCTATACAGAGCGTTCCAGAATGAACACGGTTAAAAGGTAGGTACTATGCACTAAAGCCTTTTAATCTGAAAATAAAAAAGTCAAATCTGGAACACCTTGTTTACACGCAAGTCTGAAAGGGTAACAGTATTGAATTGTTACTTTTTGTTTTGGTGCAACATTAAATCAATATTGAAATTATAAAACATGAACGGAGAGCATGAAAAACAGTCTCTGTTCCTAATTCACGTTGTTTGTAGTTAACTGCTTCATTTTGTATTCTTCCAGGATAAGGTATTCTTTTACTATGCTGAGTTTCCGGCATGTTCTGAAGACGAGTTCTTTCCCATGCCTTCGCATAGATGTTTTTAGTAATCTCAATATTTGGAAACAAGACATGCATCAGATGAATAACAATATAACTTTACCTTCTGAATTAGTACTGTCAGGAGATTGGTACTCGGTCCCGTTTCGTAAGGCTTCAGTGTAAGCTCTACATTGGTCTAACAGTTTCAATACCCTGCTCTCCCGTTTTCGTAATTTTTCATCGGGTTGTGAATTGACTAAGTTGTGCAGTGCTTGAGAGGCTTTTCTCCTTGTCTCGGCGTCTCTGTCTGACTGCACTAGTTGGACTAGGAGAGGAATACAACCTGAAAAAGATAAATTGAACTTTGAATTATACTAGATAGAACAGGATAAGTTAGAAATCTTCAATGAAAGTAAATTGAAATGAAGCATGGAAAGTTTGAAGTAGGCGTGCTTATTCAGTGTGGAATCTCACCCTATCACAGATAGAAGGATGTTCGACAGGGTACAGGGTATTTTGATATCCAGGTCATCCCTGTTCAGAAACAACTACCTTTGAAATAAGGCCAGTTTGCGGTAGAACAGTATCGGAAAAATAAAATGTAAACAACAAGCTTGCTTTTCTGATTTGCAAGGTTCGTGACTGTCTAGATATTTCACTGTGTCCTCCTCGACGTTCCTACAAACGGCCTCTGTACGAGATAAACAAACCTATAGTCAACGCCAAACAAAGTGGCGTACACGTCATCACGATAAAAATTCCCCGACCTAATGCCTAGGTTTCTATCACAAACAATTGCTCTATTGCAGTTTCATATTAATGTGATATATAAATTGTAAAATGGTCATTACTCTCTTATTATAGTTAATAGTCATATTAACATTGTTATTAAAATATCACATAAGTTGCTTTCTGATAAATTTAGACGCATTATGCGAAATAAAATGTTTTGCAAACGCTCCAATCACTTATCGACATGTAAACGCACTAAACCGATTTCGCAGCGTTGACACATTGTCACCTTGAAACTTATTTAAACTGGGAACTGACATTTGTATTAATTTTGACACTGAATCAATTTGTGGCATTTCAAATCTTTATAAATCCTTTGGCCCCGCATACTGTAAATCAACAACTGTTTGTTTCAAAACAAAATTATTCATTTTACGAGTAGATAAAGGCAATTTTGGTATATAAAGATGCCCAAACAGTTAAATAGTCGGTGTAAGGAACTCGTGGCCTCGTTAATGCACTACTTTGAGCAAGAAAGGGACAACAACGGGCCTTTGTTGCCTTTAAATGCTGTTCAAGAGGTAGGTTACTAATAATTATATGTAATGTATATTAATAATAGTGAAATTTTATTTCATTTTTTGTAGCGTGTTGCTGCTGCTTTAAAAATTAGTTTAAGGACAGTTAGTCGTATTTCCGAGGGTGTGAAAAGTGATGCAAATTTAGAATCGCCCAAGAAAAAGCGGAGTTATATTAAACGTGTAACCAACACAGCGACATTGGATACAAGTGCCATTCGAGAAGTGATCTATAATATGTATCACAAAAGTAAGATCTTATTATAATAACTTATCAGAAATTTGCATTAATTTGTTAACTAAATTATAATGTCATATTACACATGGTTTCAGAAGAACAAGTTACGATACAAACTTTATGGTCTCGATTAAGAGATAGGGCATTATTTGATGGTAGTGCCACGTCTTTAAGGCGGTTGCTTAGAGATCTTGGATTTAAGTGGCTTAAGGACAATCCGCGACGAGGGCTCATGGAACTACCAAGTATAGCTTTGAAAAGGGTGGAATTTCTAAGGCAATACAATCAAGCCAAGGTTGAGGCCTTATACCAGTTTGTCTTCCTCGATGAAACTTGGATATTTCAAAATGGGACCATAGGTCGCTCTTGGCAAAATGGAAACCAAAAAAGCGTGAAAGCTATTAAAACAGATGGTAAAAGGTATGTACTTTTACACAATTTGCACTATAAAATTTAAAACTAATATATTTTAGATACATTATATTACATGCTGGAAATGAAAATGGGTTTATTGAGGGTAGTGAAGCGATATTTTCTTCGAAAACAAAATTGAGCGATTACCATGGAGAGATGAACCAGGACAATTTTTTGAAATGGTTTCAACATCAGTTATTAGAAAAATTGGAGAGTCCATCTATGATTATACTGGATAACGCCCCTTATCACAGCATGATATTGAACAAAGTGCCCAACAATGCATGGACAAAAAAAATATCCAAGACTGGTTGACAAATCAAAACATACCATTTTTAAACACAATGTTTAAAACAGAGCTATTGAGTATTGTTGCTCGGTACATAATGCTTCTTAATTATATATATTTTGGTCGACAGTTTATATTTCTTTTGTTTATTCCTATTCTTAAAATAACTGCTTTTTTAGAAACAAACCACCTAAAATATACGTGATTGATGAATTGGCGGAACAACATGGGCACAAAGTTCTTCGTCTGCCTCCTTACCATTGTATATTTAACCCTATTGAGTTAATTTGGGGCATAGCAAAAGGTTACTATAACAGACATATTGGTAGAGATGGTAACAGTGAAAAAGACTGTTTGAATATGTGGAACGAGGCTCTACAAACGGTTACCCCAGACATGTGGAAAAATAGTGTTTGACATACTGAGCAAGAAATTTTTAAATGGTATGAAAGAGAACGAATTTTTGATCGACCAGACATCGAACCTTTAATAATCAACTTTGAGAGTGATGAAGATTCAGATTCAGACAGCGCTGAAGAAAGAAACTCCGACTAACTTTATTGTACAGAAAAAGCTTACACCAGTAGCTTACCTAATTTTAGAATGCATTTTTCTGTATGAATTCTGTAAAATAAATACCATGCATAAAATTTGGAGGACCCCATTTGGATTTTTATTCAGTACCTTTAAGCTATCAATTAAATATGGTAGTTTCATAGTGTCATCTGATCAATAATTGTCATACTTAATGATTATGCAAGTACAGATCTATAATTTTATTATACTATTATTTTTGTTCTCATTTGAGGTTAATATTGCTTATAAACCTAGATATGTAAATAATAAATTTTATTATTTTACAAAAAGTTTGGCAACAATGTAAATTTTTCAACACACCCACCTTGATGACGTGCACGCCACTTTGTTTGGCGTTGACTATATGCGGCGTGAGATGGAAATGTCTATTAAATCGAGGTTAGTTATTGCTATAGAAACGTGCCATTTCGGTTACTTCAAATCCGATGTATAAACAAACAACACCATTTACCTACACTACATGCAGCATTTGGCTCGGAACCTAGCGTACGTAATCCTTTGCTGGATGACCGAATTTGATATGTATGTATGTGCTAAAATTTTTTACAAAAACCATACGTGTTCCAATCTTCAAGAATATCCTGTATTAACAATGTTAGGGTTATTTTCATACTGACCTGATTGACGCATAGCCAGACAACTCTCCGGGCAACCACTGAGGGCCAAGAGCGTTTCACCCATATCTACTCGCTCTTGGCCCGCCAAGACGGCTAGTAGGCCATGAACGACGTCCATTTTGGCCTCCAGTTGTTGTGAAGGCCACTTTCTTTCTGGACTGCCTAACGATCGGTCCAGCGGGGCGCCGCCGGAACTTGAGGCGAAGCTCATCACGCTTGTTACCTCCTGGAGATAAAAAAATGCAAAACTCAATAGCATCATAAACAAAACGAAGAAAAACGTGGTTTATACTCATCTAAATGTTGGGGTTTCACAGACATAGTATAAGATTCCAAGCCTGCTAGACGTTACTTATTCTCTCAAAGACAAAACTAAGGGAATTCAGTAGTCTTTAGATGTACTTTTAACGACTGCGTAGTTAATAACTGGAAAATTGCTTTGAAATATTTACGTGGTGTTCTAGAGCAAGGTTTTAACTTAATTTTTTTAGATACTTGGTAACCTCAAAATAAATTACAATGCTTTTTGCCCGAACGGTTTTTTCAGGTTTTCTGGATCATTTTGAACGAGAAATGTTTCCTGTAACTATACTCTAAATTGGACCATTTTCGAGTTATACGCGATTTATTGTATGAAAAACCTTGTAGTCCAGTTAAATAACCGAAACTGCCGCAAAAGTAATAACATAGCCACAAATTTATGTCCGTTGGTGTAATGGTGTTACAAAGGCTTGCGAATATTGTCGTAAGTGTTTGGTTTTCCGGAAATCACCCATTTTTTTGTAAAACCTCTTTTTCGCTGAAACGACTGAGGATATCTGGGATTTTTTTACACGTACGTTTTTCTAATTTTTGGGCCATCAAAAAAGGTCTCTGCAATTTTTTTGCTAAATTGCTTAGTTTTCGCGCTACAGCTTGCTGATAGCTTGTTCGAAATTTGACTGGACTATTACTGAATAACCCCCACCACGTAGTTTTTCGCTGTTATATAAAAAAAATACGGCTGGTTTCCGGAAAACCAAATTCATACAACAATGTTCGCTAGCCTTTATTACACCATTATGCCAGCGGAAATAAGTTTGTTGCTATGTTATCACTTTTGCGACAGTTTCGGCTATTTAACTGGACTACTGAAAATGAGTATATCAAGGCTTAAAAGCCTCAGTGAAAAATATAATTTTCAATTTGTAAATTAAAGTTTGAACCTTGCTGGATAAAATTCCGAGGAGCATTTTGAGATCAGTTTATTTTAAAGCGATGTACCACCATGTCTGATAGGCCAACTTTTGATTTTCGCAGATTATAGATACAGGGTGTTTCAGTTTATTGTTGCATAACTTTAAGATTCGATAGAACTTTTAAAATTAATGCATAAAGTCTATATAAACATGGGTCGAAAAATGCGTGGCTTCCGAAATACAGGGTGTTTAAGTTTACTTAATAGTTTTTTTTAAATATTTTGAACATATTTAATGCATAACAGTGAAAATTGGTATACAAGGGTTTTTTGGTACGACAAAACGAACAATGGGCATAGTTTTACTGTAGCCGCTAGAGGGCGCTCTCTACTGTACCTGTAGTGTATTAAAATGACCGAAAAATTTTTCTTAGTGCAATTTTTTGCTTTTTGAATAAAAAAACTGATTCTTCGCACTTTTCAACATAAAAAAGCTCCCCTGTGAGTTTTCGTTATAGTTAGTCGTTTTTGAGATATATCGATTTTTAAGGTTGGATGCATTTTTAATTATTTATGGGAAAATTATTTTTTTTACATTTTTGATTTCGGCATTACAAGTAATTAAGATGATCGTTTAGATTGTGTTTTTAAACACAGCAATAATTCCTAACTCCAAATAAACACAAAAAAACAGAATATTAATTTGTTTTAATTTTCCAATATTATTTTTAACAAATTAAATTAATTATTTACAACTAAAATGCTATTGGCTAGTAGTTGCTCGAAATGTAAACCCAATTCTTCAATACACGATACACAATTCACATCTACGAATGATCGAACGTGGTATAGCATTATTCAAATAAGGCCTTATTTCATCACATGTATTCCTGATTCTGTCTATTAGCATATCTTTTGTGGTTACGGAAGTCTGGTAGACTTTTTCTTTTAGAAATCCCCACACAAAGAAATCTAATGGATTTAGGTCAGGGGATCGTGGAGGCCAGGCGACTGGTCCTCCACGGTCGATCCATCTTTCTGGATAATTTTCGTCCAGCCAGTTTCTAACTATTCTCGAATAATGAGCTGGACAACCATCAAGCTGGACCTAGGCCAATCTTCTTAAATCTAACATAACATCATCTCACATATTTGCATGTTCAGCCTTAAAAAATTCCAAGAAGGTCGCAGCATTTAACCTTGCAGGCAAAGGTAGGGTCCAAATAGTCGATTACGGTAGATACCAAACCACACGTTCACACTAAATTCATGCTGAAAATTTCTTTCCCCGAACTGCATGCGGATTTTCATGCGACCAAATATGTTGATTATGAAAATTTACCACTCCACGTCTAGTGAAGCATGACTCGTCGGTCCATAAAACGTTACTTAAAAACTCCCTATTATTATCAGTTCTATCAAGAATCCACTGACAAAATGTGATTATTCGTTCTACGTCCCCTGGCTGTAGTCCTTGCACGGGTTGCAAATGGTAAGGACGACTATGGTTATTTCTAAGAACACGGTGAACATGGCTTGCTGAAATTCCCAAGGCACTAGAAACTCTTCTAACACTTGTGGTCGGATCTCTATCAAACTCACGCAGAATCATACGGGTGAATCTGCGCTGACGAACATTTATGTTTTGATCCCTTTGGAGATTTCCAAAACCATTTTCAATTATTTGGCGATGCACTCTTACAAATACTGAGCGAGTTGGATGTCGTCTGTTTGGAAATCTTCGTGCGCATTCTCTGGCTGTTTCTGCTGCGTTTCCATTTACAAAGCCATACACAAAATGAATATCCGCTAACTCTTGATTGGAGAATAAAAATGGCATTTTTATAAAACTTACAAAAAAACAGGTAAAAGAAACTAAATTTCATGCATTCACAATTGCAAAAAAACGTTTCAGGTTTCAACTTCTAAAAATTATCGAGATACTGACTTTTTAACATTATTTTATCATAAATAATTAAAAATGCATCGAACCTTAAAAATCGAAATATCTCAAAAACGGCTAACTATAACGAAAATTTACAAAAGAGCTTTACTATGTTGAAAAGTGCGAAGAATCAGTTTTTTTTATTCAAAAAGCAAAAAATTGCACTAAGAAAATGTTTTCGGTCATTTTAATACACTAAAGATACAGCAGAGAGCGTCCTCTAGCGGCGACAGTAAAACTATGCCCATGGTTCGTTTAGTCGTACCAAAAAACCCTTTTATACCAATTTTGACTGTTATACATCAAATATTGTTCGAAATATTTAAGAAAAACTATTTTAGAAAGTAAATTTAAACACCCTGTATTTCGGAAGCCACGCATTTTTCGACCCATGTTTATATAGACTTTATGCGTTAATTTTAAAAGTTCTATCGAATCTCAAAGTTATGCAACAATAAACTGAAACACCCTGTATAAGATACATAATAAGAAATAACTCAACGTTTACCAAACGGGAATAATACGTATTACATAATATAAACCTTAAACATTATTATAGAAGGTGCAGAGGGTAACCAACCTCACTCACCATCTGATTTCCCAAATGATCCGCTCTGCCCCCATCTCTGTGCTGACCCTTGGCTCCGATTCCGGTGGGTTCCGAACTCCACATCGGTCTCTCCACATGCGGCCAACTACCATGATAGAGAGCGGAAGGGGTGGCTTTCGATCTGCCTCCACTGCCCCCGGTGGGAGTCGGTTCGCTGCTCACGGATAGGCCGCCGCTGCTGCCCCCGCTGCGTCGGACCGCCCCCATCGGTGTGGACGTCGAGGGGAAGTCGTCGTCGCTGCTTGCGACGCCGTGGTCGTACTGGAAAGAGGTTATAAACTACGATTATGGTCAATGTAACATACGCGAAAATAGTAAATGAGGATCAAAGTATATAGGGTCAGAAGTCGACGTTAAGCCGCAAACGGGGAACAGGCAAGTCATAATAGTTAACAGAAAAATATAAAAAAACTAAGTCTTATACAAATTATAGGTTTTAAAAAACCATGTGATGATCTTTTAGCTCCCATTACTCTAAATTTAATTCGTTTTCTTAGAGGGAGTGACAGATAGTAAGGTCTATTAATTCATGAATATAAATTCAGCTGCCTCCGTTATTCTGTCCCGTAATTCAGCAAAATTTTTCCGCATTTTATAAAGCCTATAATTTGAAAAGTACACGACTTATATTTTTTTTATATTTTTCTGGTAACTATTATGACTTGATCTATCCCCCCGTTTCCAGCTTGAAGTCAAACTGTGGGACAGTCCGTATACTTATGCCACCTAAAATTTTCAAATGGTTCTTTTAAGCAATGGTTCTTTTGCGCAATGATAAAAAAAAACTTAGGTTCAGTATTCAACTTATTACAAATTATTTAATCAACAGAAGTCAAAGAACTAAAACTGGCAATACATCATCAAACATTAAAAACACGAGTGGCACGTAGCAAACCCACATTTGATGAGAGAAGATAAATCTCAATATCGCTTCAAGATAAACCATTGGACAGGAATTTTAAATGGTAAAATAATCGGTCCGTTTGAGTTCCCAGAGACTTTGACTGCTAAGGTTTATTTAGGTTTTTTGCAAAATCATTTAGAAAATTTATTGGAGGACGTGCCACTGAGTATTTACAGGGACATGTGGTTTCAGCATGATGGCTGCCCAGCGCACTATGCACTCTCAGTGAGAGAGTATCTCGATCAAAACTTTCCAGGCAGATGGATAGGGCGGTCTGCTACAATACCGTGGCCAGCCCGGTCACCAGATTTGAATCCGTTAGATTTTTTTTACTGGGGAACTGTAAAAGAAAAAGTGTATTTCAAGCCGATTCAAAATGTAGCTGAGCTACGGCAAAGACTATTGGAAGCACCTGAGTTTGTTAACAACCGTGGATTCGCTCGTTTAATAACCCGATCTTTTTTAAGAAGATGTCGAGCGTGTATTGCGGCTGAAGGAAAACAGTTTTAGCATTTGCTGTAAAACAGGTAAATAATCATCAGCAGCATTTTGACGCACACTGTTGTGCAAACTGTTATCCTTAAGGGTCCTTGTGCGTTTTCATAATCGCTGTTTAATTAGGAAATTTTGAAAAATTTTCATCAGTTTTTCTTCAAATAAAAATTGTGCATAAGTTAACGAGTAATTTTCTAAGTGTTATACCATTTTGGAATCTTTATTAAATGCGCCAACTTTTAAGGTTACTTGCCAAACTCTCGTAGTACATTTTTTTCCAGTACAGCCAGTTAAAGTTGAGCAAAGTTTTACTTTGGAATACTTGGTTGGGAAATAAGTGGCAATTTTTCCTGAACGAGAAAAGTTGGCAGTAAGGTTGAGTCACCAGTTTGAAGATGCATTATTCGTCATTACATTGTAAACATAAAATCCAAAAAAAGTTAATATTTGTAGTAACAGGAGTTGACAGACTGCCGTAGGGTGTGACATTTCTATATTTTTTTCAAAGACCTATAATTTTCAAAACACATACATAAAATTTTTTTTAATATTTTTCTGATAGCTGTTATGACTTTGCATATCACCCGGTTTCGGCTTGACGTCGACTTCTGGGACACCCTGTATATATATATATGCTGCATCAAATCAGCATAGTCTTGATGAGTATGTTAGATACAAATATTTACGACTTATTCGTACTATTTTTCCACTACTTTTATTTCGTGTATTATAATTCAGTTTCACTATAATGATAAACCACTTACGTTTGGAGATCCGCCGGCATTACTGCTCTGTTGACGGCCCAGTAAAAGCGTGTCCATGGTATAATCTAGAGGTTCAGCGTCATTCTGAAAAAAAAGAAAAATAATTTAATAGTGTGTGTGCGGAACCGTAGCAGCGGAAACCATATGAAATTACATAATTATTTATCATCTAGACCAGTTGGACTGTGACCTAAATTAGTATATCAAATTCTTGAGAACGTATCGGTTATGTGTGCGGTGGATCGGTTCACGTCATTTCGTAATACGTACCATATCGATATAGACGATTTGAATTAGTCATTGTACAAATTGTGCGAAATAAAAAAATACGAATTATATCTGCTGTTTAAGCACACAAATAAAATTACATAGAACTTAAACAAATTCTAGCTGTTTTCCTGACAAATGGCAGAATTCGCATCTTCTCCATTTATACATTTTTTTACGAAGTTCGAGTTCTGATCGAGTACTTGTCCTAACATACGGTGTTATGGTTTTTCTATGCTTACTCTATTTCTCCTTATACCCACTAAGGATATCTCTCTTATTTTTATACTGAAGTGATAATAAAAAACACAGAGCCTAAATGCAGTTATCACGAGTTAGCAAAAATCGTTTGACCATATATCGACAGCTTTTCCACCCTTATGACATATACTAAGTGACATATAAATCCGAACACCCAGTCTAAATGGTTTTATTTTAATAAAATTTTGTATAAGTACTTAATGAAGCATAATAAGTAAATGATAAAAATTTCAAAATGATTGCACTGCTTTAAAGCCCTTTAAACTTTAATAATGTGTGGATGCACCCTGATGTGCTACGCATTCACCAACGCGCCTAGGCATGCTTCTGATCAGGTGGTCAATGTCCTCCTGTGGTATCTCATTCCAGGCAACCACCAACTCCTCTCGAAGTGCGTCTAGAGTCTGAGGAGGACGTTGCAAATTGAGCAATCTCCTACCCATCATATCCCACACGTGCTCAATTGGGGATAAGTCGGGAGATCTTGGTGGTCATGGTAACAATGTGACATCATTATGTTGAAAGAAGTCTATTGTGACTCTTGCAACATGTGGTCGGGCATTATCTTGTTGGAAAGTTGGATCTGCCAGGGTGTCAAGATAGGGTAAAAGATGGGGTTCTAGAACTTCGTGGATATAACGCTGCGCGTTCATGTTACCTCTGATGAAGATTAAAGGTGACCTGGAACCATAAGCTATAGCACCCCAAACCATAACTCCAACAGTGTGATGAACATGTCTTTCAACAAAAAACTGTGGATTCCTCCTTTCACCACGTCGCCTTCTAACCCTGGCACGACCATCGTGCATGCCTAAACAAAATCGAGACTCGTCACTAAAGACAATACTGTTCCATTCCTGATCCCAGAGTGACCGTTGTCTGCACCACTCAAGGCGATTACGTCGGTGTTCTCGAGTTAAAGGGAGGACCCAGTGTGGCCGGTATGAAAACAAGCCAAAACTTCTCATTCGTCGGTAAACACTTCGCATGCCAATAGGTCTTCCGTGTTCTGCAAACCATTCATTTGCAATGGACCTGGTAGTGGAGCAACGGTCCCTTAAGGCCAATAATCTTAGGCGACGATCTTCACGGTCTGTTGTTCTACGGCGGCGTCCAGTGCCCCTTGCTCTTAGCGTACGGCCTTCTCGAAGCCATGCCTGACAACACCTAACCACAGTGTCTACACTTCTTTGCACTCTAACTGCAATTGCCCGAAAAGAAAGTCCAGCTTCCCGAAGTCCCACTATACGGCCCCAATCAAACTCACTAAGTTGACGAAATCGTACAGGTCTCCGTACTCTAGGCATCGTAACCGATCGTAAAGGATGTCAAGAACCAAAATCCGCCAACGTTGATTCTTTACTGCGGCTGAAATATTCATTTTTAGAGCGTTAGTGAATTAAAAAAAGGCAGTATAAAAACCGGAATGTCCAACTGATAAGGCTGAAAATTTTTTCACTTGTTATTTACAGTAAGATAAATACATTCACCAACTTTTATTAAAATAAAACCATTTAAACTGGGTGTTCGGATTTATATGTCACTTAGTATAGTTTCCAGACGATTGGTTTCGTAACAGCTGTTTTCTATTTTGTCGTCTGATACTAGGAAGTAATATTTATTGTGGCTTCGTACTAGCGTAGGGGTAGGTTGCATAATAATGCATGTATCAAGACCTTGATCACTCCATATATAGATAGGTGATAATATATGCAATACTATTGTTATTATTTACTCGCTTTTTGTGCAACAAAATAGACAGATGAGTTACAGATCGTGTGGGAATAAAAACAATATTGTAATGTTTCTGAGAACGATGAAGGCTATACGATCGTGGTAAGTGTAAAAATCAATAAACATGTAATCCGAACTTCTGTAACTTTTTCAGTAATTAGTCCGCACATAAAAAAATATATTTGCAATGTTGACAGATAGATTTGCCAATAGTCAGTCTAGGTGACTAAAAGGGAATGTGATTTATGAATTGCCCAGCGAATATAAAAACTTATAGGGAAAATGAGCAGATATTGCCCTATTTTCTATAAATTTTGATATAAATATTTTAAAATTAATTTTATTCTTGAGTTGATATTGACAATAACTTGACCGATTTCCAAATATGAAAGCATCAGTTAAACGGGAACACATGAATACCTAAAAAAATGTGATTCATGACTCAGGTGTATGTTTTTCTAACAGCCTTCTTTTCTTTGAAAGTCGATCTTTATACCGCGAGTAACCTTTCATCAAGCAAACAGTTATTCCCTCCAAGCAATCAACGCTAATCATGATTCATCTATACATATACTGCTCTACAAAATTCTCGGTCTACTATCCTGAAAATTTTATCCGACTTTATTTCTTGAGATACAGACGCCCTGCTTCTCATCTAAAAATGATCCTAGGCATTTAGTTCAAGCTTTAAAGACACAAAATTAGTAAGTCAGTGTACGAAGTCTGTAAATTAAGTTGAGACTGGCAACGTAGTGTCCGATTTGGCAACATTGCAGACGCCGGGCTTGGAGGGAAGACAGGGTAACTAACATGTGATCTGTCTTCAGTACAAGTTCGAACTCGCTCGAGTCATTTAGTTGTCCGTAGCGATTTTTCTTATGCGTTGACGGTCCGAATGATAAGGGAAGGTTCATCAAGTCAAGAACAACTTGGTGCTGCATTTGGATAGTGCTCATTGTCTCAATAAACGAGTTTTTCGACAGTAAAAACATTCCTGTGGCTCCTCAACCGCCTTATCCGCCTACTGACTTGAGTCCTTGCGACTTTTTTCTCTCCCCGAAGTTGAAAGATCACGTCAAGGGCACTCATTTTGGTACAGTGGAAAACATTCAAACGGCTGTAACCTACCAGCTGAAGGCTATTCCAGTATCGGAGTTCCAGCACAGCTATGAGGAGGATAACAACCCTCTCCAGTGTAGTGTGGATTCAAAAGCAAGCTTTAAAGGCGACAATATAAAATTGTAATTACATTTAAATAAATAATAAAAAATAGTCCCATCATTTAATTCACAGACTTCGTTACGTTTGAAGTGCTTCTCAACGTAACTTAACAAGTGGATAGATAGAAGATACACACAGATAAGATTGATGCGATACAAGTCAAGAGTCATAGGTACTGTAAATCAGTCCAAAAGGTATTCATGCTCTTTGGTAAAGCAGAAGATCGGGAGATATGGGACCGTATTCATAAAAGAGAAGCATATCTTCGGAAGCATAAGGTGAAGGTATAAGGTCTTGCTTCGGAGAAAAAGGTAGAAGTATAAGCATATCCTTGTTTTCATATTAATAATGATTACCTTATACTCGCGAGGATATCCTCCAAGAAGAAGTAAAAGGTTGACTGGTATTTGTATCTTGAGCGACATGTCCTGACTTGTCCCTGCTTGTAGTTGACGTGGAAGTTCGTTCAGTCAGCATCACTGACAGTTGTACTCCAGAGCTTACACAGACCGTTCCGTATTTTTACTGGATACATTTATCAAATGTCATCATCAAGTGATGAGGAAACTATAGAAAATAATGGCAAGGACCTGCAGTTCATCGCAGATGAAATTGCCATTGCTCCCATTATTTTGAAAAGTCACACGTTCCAAAAATAAAAATAAGAAAGGACGATGCCTTGAAGAAGATGTTGAAAAAATACGAATCAACATTCGGTAAACCATTAGATACTAGAGGCTTATTAAAAAAAATCAACATGAAATCAACATTGAAGAAAAAACAGGTAATAAAGCAGTTAAATTGTTAGATTGGGAAAGAAAGTTGCTGAAAGCTATGGAAGGTGACGGTAATCCTACAATTGGGAAAATTAGAAGTGCCATTCAGTTTGGTAGTGTTCAAGAAGAAGGAAGTGAACTATATACCGAGCGCAGTGAGCAAACAGTTAGTATTATTATTGTAAATACCATCTGGAGGATTTCCTTCAAAATTTGAAAGTACAACGATATCCTTTGTTTTATGAATACGGCTCATGTTTCCAGCCACATATCAAGACTCTGCCAGGAGGGTAATGTTTAGATAGTACAGGGTGCGGCAGAGAGGATGGACGGTTTTAAACAAATCATAAAATAGTTAATTTTTACTCGAAAACAAATTTATTGATGGAATCAGGTTCACAAGGAAATAGCATTTGAGACAGTCAAGTGTGAAAAATCACATCAGGCATGTGGTGGAGGCGTTCTTGGAAGTGTGCGTAGACTCTCTCCAACATCGCTCTCTCAACTTGGGCGACTTCCATGCGAATTTCGCCCTTCAATTCGTTCAGAGTTCGGGGCTTGTTCGCGTATACTCTGGCCTTGAGGTGTCCCCCTAAGAAATAATCGCATAAGGACTAAAATACCCAATGTTTTCTTTGAAACACATATGATGGTTTCTAATCCAGAACAGTGGATTGAGCCTATGGGAGAAGCCAATGTGGACCTGTACACATTTCACACAGAACCAGTTTTATCTGATGTTCTAAAAGTATGCAGAAAAGTGAAAGAGGCAGGTATGAAGGTTGGGCTTGCTCTGAAGCCTGGGTCGGGCATTGAAGCTGTCCGTCAGTACATTGATCATGCTGACATGATTCTCATCATGACAGTTGAGCCTGGCTTTGGAGGACAGAAATTCA